CCCAACCCCACTCCCAAACCCCAGCACACTATTATTATGAGCTCTGATGATGACCGTGCGGCGTGTTGTTCTTTGCTCTTTGTTTTAAGCTCACAGTTCACAGCCCTGCAAAGCCGTGACCGTGCTGTGACGCGTTTGTCCAATTAGCACGCGAGCCAAAAGCGATGTCTGGTGGAGGCAAAAACAAAGCTCGGACGGCCGGACGCGCTCATTGTTGTTAGCCAACTACTTCAAACGCCCTGTGTCGCCAGCCAGCTCTGTTTACAAGTAAAATATTATGATTGCTGGCTCCACACATGATGTTATGAGAGCGACACCATGGACTCGTGTGTTTAGGGTCCCAAGTTCAAGCACATAATAATAGCACTGCCCGCCTGGGACGTGAGAAACGTTTTGTCACCTCTGCAGAGACGAGGAAGTTGAAATAATGGCATTATACCTACTATACAGAATGTGCTTAGAAAAAAAAAACCTCAAATATTTTTATTTTTTATACCGTTCTTTCCTCCCCCCTTATTTGGGAGGGGGCGGTGAGAAGAGAGACGTGCTGTTAAAGATGTAGGTGTCGTTATATTGTCAAACAGTGCCGGAAGCCCGCCTCCTAAATTATCTAAATTTTTTGCACGAGGGCTTAAAAACACCTACATTCTAAGAGATGTACTAATTTGATATTAACAATTAAAAAAAAAAAGAATAAAGTCACAATATTCATATTATTAGGACCATATATGCAGTGACTGTTGTTGTTATAGTCAGAACGTGTGTGTGTCTGCGTGGTGAAACACCAGACCAGTGAGCCAGAATCTGGACAATAAAGATGTATCTTATCTTATCCTATCTTATCTTGTCTTCAAGTTTTTTCAATTTTGGTCGCTTGGACAAACGGACTAACCCAGATTTCGCCTATTTCCTGAAATCTTGACCTACACCAAAGTGGACATTGCTCTACCTATAGGAGAAGTTTGGTTTCATTGGTGTGTATATTTGTTTGGTTATAGAGGAAACTCTCCTTGTATTTAGAAAAGAAAAAAAAACTGAACTAGGGGTAAAAACTTTACCTTTGATTTTCTCAAAACAGCTTTTTTAGGGATAGCCCCTTTGTGCTCAAAAGCGACCTTTTAATCTGGGCTCCCGCCATTCACTGGCTGCATGTAGCCGTGTTCGTGACGTCGGAGTGTCAGGCCGGCCAGCGAGCTGTCAGCCACCATAATGATTTGACAGCCTGGCCCAGGGGTCAGCAGCGCTGACAGGCACGTGTCGGAAATGAACGCAATCTCAAAGGTGTCAGAGCGTGGCCTGGGCGTCCTCAATCCCCTGACCAACGCTTGACCATCATTTATTACGCTTTGCTAGCTACCCCACGGCGGATGTCTTTGGTTGAGCCTTTTCGACTTCTTCACGCACTGCAGCAAGGTTAAGCATTGCGTTCCCTCAAATTTCGGCTATTTCAAGCGCGTTTTATCCTTTTCTCCAAGGGTGAGCAGGAGAACCTATATTTGCGATTACTATACGTTAGGAACGGATGGCTGCTGAGGGAAATAGGTCTGTTTGTGAAAATAAATCGTATGGTACAAATTGCGGCGGGTGTTGTTGACCACTGCTGCTGTATCAGACGTCGGTTAA